TATCCTTTGCGACGTACATTTTTTTCTTTCCTGTGCCTCCCTTCCGCCCTGCAGGCAACGAACCTCTCATCCTATTCCCTCAAGATCCTGTCCTCTGTTCACCGACAAGTTTTGCTTTTGCTCGCTCGTTCCTTCGCTCATTCCTCAAGGGCGGATCCGCAGAAGCGGTTCTCACACTCTCAGAAGGCATTTTTCTCAAATTTATTTCCTACAATTTTCAATAACACCAATAATGATTAGTAATAACACTAATAACGATTTTACAACTCAACTAATTTCGTACACCTGGAAATTATTTTTTGCCTCAATTTTTTTCCCCTAATTTTTCAGGTCTTTTATCCTCAGGGTTGCCATGCAAACTGAAAATCTGGAAAACCTGGAAATGTCAGGGAATTTTATAAACCTTGAAAAACCCTGGAAAAGTCGGGGAATTTTAATCGAAATCCTGGAAAATTGTATATTCTAAAGTTATAGTGTTTATTTTTTAAATCTAATTTTATTTAAATTAAATTTAAATTTAATTCTTGGCAAAATTTTAATTATTTTCAAAAACTAACTTCAATTTAATGATTTTTAATATCTACTACTTTAATAAAAATTCCTAAAAGAATTCAATTAAATATAAAAAAAAATTTAATAAAATTCTATACGCAAACATTTTATTATTTTCATAAATAATAAAAGTTTCCCAGGAATTAAATTATTTACAAATTATTTTTATAAATAATAACATTTTTTTACAGGGATTCAATTATTTTCATAAATAATAAAACTCATCGCAGACTTTCAATTATTTTCAATACAATTTTAACTTAATTCCTCGAAAAATGTCATTATTCTTGAATATTTTATTAAAATCTATCAAAGAAATTCCAATTATTTTAAAAACTTTTTCCTATATTATCAAAACATATTTTTATTAAATTTCTTCAAAGCATTAAATTATTTTCAAAAATTTTAATGAAATTCTTTGTAACAATTCAATTTCTATCAAAACAATTTTAATAAAAATCCTTCGTAGAAATTTAAATAGTTTCAAAAGTTTCTTAAAATTCAATTATTTTCAATGTCTACTATTTCAATAAAATTCCACAAAAGAATTCAATTATTTAAAAAGAAATTTTAATAAAATTCGTCTCAAGAATTCAATTATTTTCAAAAGTAATAAAATTCTTCGCAAAAATTCAATTATGTTCAAAACTTTACAAAAATTCTCGTCAAAATTTCAATTATCTTTATAAATAATACAATTTTTCTCCGAAATTCAATTATTTTCAAAAATTTTAATAAAATTCTTGGCAGAATTTCAATTATTTTTAATACATTTTTCATAAAATTTCTCGAAAAATGTAATTATTCTTAAAAATGTTATTAAAATTTATCAAAGAAATTCAATTATTTAAAAAAGTTTTGCCTATATTTCCAATACATTTTTAATTAAATTTCTTCAAAGAATTAAATTATTTTCAAAAATTTTGATGAAATTCTTTGTAAGAATTTAATTTCTTTCAAAATAATTTTAATAAAATTCTTCGTAGAAATTTAAATAATTTCGAAAATTTGTCAAAATTCAATTATTTTTAATGTCTACTATTTCAATAAAATTTCACAAAAAAATTCAATTATTTTCAAAAATTTTAATAAAACTCTTCGTAGAAATTTAAATAATTTCAAAAATTTGTCAAAATTCAATTCTTTCAATGTCTACTATTTCAATAAAATTTCACAAAAAAAATTAAATTATTTTCAAAAATTGTAATAAAATTCTTGGCAAAATTTCAATTATCATTCTAAGCAATAAAATTCTTCTCTGAAATTTAATTATTTTTAAAAATTTACAAAAATTCTCGTCAAAATTTCAATTATCTTTATAAATTATAAAATTTTTCTCCGAAATTCAATTATTTTCAAAAATTTTACTAAAATTCTTGGCAGAATTTCAATTATTTTTAATACAATTTTCATCAAATTTTTCTAAAAATGAAATTATTCTTAAAAATTTTATTAAATTTTGTCATGAGAATTCAATAATTGAATTCTCCTAGAATTTTCTTATAAATATTGATTTAGAAATGAATTTCAGTTAAAATTTTAGATTATAATTGAATATTGAAAGCATTATATTGTGAATTTTTAGAAATAATTAAATTTTGAAAAGATTTCAAATTAAAATCTTTGAAAATCTGAATTTTTCATATTTTTAATTAATAATTCTGTAGAATTAATTTTTTTTCATTATTTGAAGTTTTTACTTTCTAATATATTTAATTGAAGAATGACAGAAAAATCGAAATTTCGTAAAAATAAATTGTAAAAAAAAATTTTTTTAAATTCTCAAAGAACTTTTTCAAAAATTATTTTTAAAAAATTGACTTAAAGAAGAATTGTAGTTGAAAATTCTAGTAATGAATAATCGTAATGATGAAAATAATTTTTGAAGAAGTTACAGTAACAATTAAATATTTATTTAAAAATAAAGTTCTTTAGAATCAGGGAAAATGTCAAAATTTTTGTCTGGAAATTAAGCAGTTATTTAATTTCGTAAAATTTAAATAACAAATTAAATTTATTTAAATAAAATTCAAAAACCTGGAAAAATTCCGTTTTTTGACCTGGAAAACATGGAAAAGTCAAGGAATTTGAAAAGAGCAAAAGCGTATGGCAACCCTGATTCTGTATTTCCTTTTTCCAACTCTCCATTTTATCATAAATAAAAAAAGCAATTGTTGATAGAAAAAATTAAATAAGATCTTTTTTTTAGGTCCATGGATTTTGGCATTATTATTTTGGAGAAATATGAAAAATCGACATATGAAAGATAAACGGTGGAGGAATATTCGAAGGACAGTGGATACAGGACGTTTTTATTTGTGTAAGTACAATACATCTACCTAGCAAGAAAAAATTTTTCGTTTTAAATAGGTATACATTTATAAACACGAATGAGAAGCATCAAAAACTACGTAGATGCATACATATGTTTGAAGAAAAAAAAAGTGCGGAGGTATATATATATGTAAAGGTATAAAATGATTCTTCGCACGCAAACTTGTAAGCAACTTGAATCGAATAAGATTGCCGGTAGAAACTCACGCAAGCCAACAAAAATTCCTACCACAGCCTAAAAATCGACCTCGCCAAATGTTTTCGATCGTATTGCAAAAAACACGTTGTCGATTTCGTATAACGAACCAGGGTGCATCCTTTTTGAGAAATTGTCACTCAACCGGGACATATAGGGCAAAAATATGCGAAAATGTACCAAGAAAAAAAAAGGTATTATTTGCAAGCAAACATTTTTTTTTACTTTATAGTAAAGTTGACAATTTCGAATTTTTTGATTTTTAACAACAGTTTATTTTCAATTCAATTATATTGAATAAATTTAAATTTGAAAAAAAACTAATAAATATACAAGTTTTATTTGATTTATTCTGTAACTGTAATCTTAATAATAGTAATTACAACTATTAAACTATTATTACTGATTATTATTACTCCTACTATTAAAATTATAAAATTTATAATACAACTTTATCTTTTTGCATTATCACTTGTTTACTTTTATGAAAAATTTTGTATAAATTTGAACAAGTATATCAAACAATATAAAATATTAAACAATTTCTCTAAATTAACATTATTAACGATTGCTAATTAAGATAATTTTTTTTCTTTCTCTTTTAAACTTATCTTATTTTGATAAACTAATTTATTCATTAATGAAAAAAGTATATTTGAATTTTCAATAATGATGAGATAAATAAATTAGTGATAATTATCGTTATTTGTTAATAATATCCGGGGGTTTTTTTAAATTAATGAAATCAATGACTATAAGAAAGTTTGATAGTTTATATAAATATCGTACTTTCAATTTGAACTGATAGCTCGATCTAACAAAGAATTCTTGAACTATCATTGTAGATTTTTAGTCGAGAAGAGAACCACTTCTATCATAAATTACTTAAAATTCACGTTTTTCGTTGAATTAAAATTTTTAATGTTAATAATAATTATAATAAAATTAAAATTAATTAAATTTTTTTTCAAAAATTTTATCAAAAATTTGAAAAATAATTTAATTCTTCCTTGAAATTTTATTAAAATTTTAATGAAAATAATTGAATTCCTGCAAAGAATTTTACCATTTATAAAAATAAGTGAATTGTTTCGAAGAATTTGTTTAAATTTTAGAAAATAATTTAATTCTTTTGAAAAATTTTATCAAGAATTTAAAAAAATGATTTAATTCTTTCTTGAGCATTTATTAAAATTGGAAATAATTGAATTCCTGCAAAAAATTTTACCATTTATAAAAAATACCTAAGAAAATTGTTTCAAAGAATTTATTAAAATTTTAGAAAATAATTTAATTCTTTTGAAAAATTTTATAAAAAATTTTTAAAAAATAATTGAATTCCTGCAAAGAATTTTACTATTTAAAAAAATAATTGAATCCTTTCTTGAAATTTAATTAAAATTGTGTTGAAAATAATTGAATTCTTGCGAAGAATTTTACGAAAATTTTTGAAAATCATAAACAATAATAATAATTAGCTATGCACATAATAAAAGTGAAGTTTTTAATAATAATGATAAATAATTCTAATAATTTTTATTTAAATCAAATAAATTGTATTTGAACCAATAGTTTCAGATTTATGTATTTAAAAACTATTGTATAATTTATTTATTTACTGAATACCATCATTTTTGTTTCATTTTTTGTTTCAATTTGATATCCATAGAAAAACTGTCATTTAATTGACTTAAATAAAAATTATTCCATACAAATAAATATTTATTTGGTAACATTTAAATATTAGTTGAAGCCAAGTAATTGTTTATTTAAATCAAAGAAATTTTTTTTCAGTGTCAGAGTTAATTTGTTGATAATAAAAATAATAATTAATTTAATTGACAATAGAAAAAGACTTTTTGTTTCAATTAAATGTTGTGTTTAATTTTTATTTTATTTTATTTATTCGACTGTAAAATGTGTATAATTTTATTTCTTCTTTCAAATTTCGTTCTCTTCACGAGATTTTTTTTCATGAATAACTCGAAGAACAGAGAAAACTGATTTTGTCCCGCGCACCGAACGTAATTCCAAGTAAAAAACAAAAGTTGACAGGCAAAAGCCAACAATTAAAAGTGAAAATGCTCCTCCAAGGGGTGTTAGATTTAAAATTATGGCCACTCCTTCATCAACGTAATCGTATTCCACTAAAACTTCACGCAGACTGTGAACCGCTCGTCGACGAATTACATCTTTTAAATGATAAAGAGTGATGCCACCTTCTCTTAACCATAGCATGACCTATTTTTTTAATAGAAAACAATTTTTTATTGAAAGAATAAATAAAATTAATAATAATAAAATTAATATTATTAATTATTATTAATTTTTTTACACCAAGAGAAAAATTTTATTTAAACCACAATTTATTTCAGTCAAATAAAAGTATATTTGTCTCAGAGAGACAACTAAGTTATTTATTTGTTTGAAATAAAAATTTTATTAGACTTAAATAAAATTTTTATTTGAACCAAATAAAATTTTATTTAATCCAAATAAAATTTATTTAAAACAAATAAAAAGTCTATAGCTGACTCGGAGTCAAATATATCTTTTTTCTGGGTGTAAACACAACATTTTTGATCGACAAAAAATTTTTTAAAAAATTTGTTAAAAAAATATTGTTAGAAAAAAATAATTGATAGTTAGAAAAATAAAAATAACAAATAATACCTAATAAAATAAATAAAGAAAATAATAATAAAATTATTATAAAAATAATAGTAAAATTATCAAACTATAATAATTATAGTTGGAAGAAAAAGACATAAATTTGCTTCTTTAATAAACAAAATTGATTCATATTATAAACAGCAAAGTTAAAGAAACAGTTAAGCAGGAAATGTATGTAGAATAAGGAGAGAAAAAAATTTGTTTTTACATTTTACAGTCTAAGTCTAAATTACCATATTAACTGGTTCCAGAAGCCACGGTTGTACGGCAAAAGAAGAATAAAATCTACCAGCATTTTCCTTCATTAGTCTGTAATTCTAAAGTAAATATGACATTTTTTCAAAATTTTATTTCTTTAAGAATTTTATTAAATTTTTGTTTTTTAATAGAAAAAAGAATAATTACTCGCCTTTAAATCGGTATTTGTGACGTTATTCTCGGGGAAGAAAAGTGATCCTACAAATCTTCCAAGAATGGCATAATTACCTTCAAGAATTTTTTTGTGTCTAACAGCACTTCCCTCTTCGTGTTCAAATCTACTTGGAAATTGTGAAAAATATGTGTCCTAAAATTTATTTATTGTTTATAAATATTTATTAATAGTTTTTCTATTTTTTCTTCAAAATAACATATTATTATTGTTATTTTTATTATTATTATTATTATTATATTTTTCCCAAATTATCCAATATATTGTTAACCAAATTCGTTAAATTTATTAATTATTTTTTATTAACTAAACTGTAACTAATTATTTAATATTTTATTTGCTATTAATTTCGTACTTTCTGCAATTAATATATTTTCTTTAATTTATTTATTTACAATTCACTAAAATAGAAACTTACGTTTAAATCAAAAAAGTCACTAAAAATTGGCGTTGGTCCTTCTCTTCCCCACGTGAGATTTGCCTCCACAAATTGTTTAGCAGTATCAATTCTAAAATATAATATTTTTTTTATTATTTAATAAAACTTTTCGTCGGTGAAACGAACAAAGTTTATAATCAACGATTGAAGAAAAAAATTATTTTTCTTTATAAAAATAATAAAATATTTTGTTTACAAATTTTTCTCTTTTAAATTATTGGTGAAGAAATTAAAACATTTTTAAATGAAAGTATAGAAAAAATTGAAATAGAAAAATATTTTTACTTCTTGATCGTTGATTATAAACGTTGCGAACTTGACCAACGTTAAGACATCAGAGTTGATTAATTAAAAAAATACTATAGAACTGTGAATAAAATAAAATATAAAACTGTAAATATAAAAAAAAATTAAAATATTTAAAAAATGGATAAAAAAATTAAAATATTTAAAAAATGAACAAAAAAATAAAGGTATGAAAAATATTATAAAAAAAATTTTGAAGAGCATAAAAATAGAATTTTTTAATTTGTTACCTTTTTTCATATTCGGGATTCGATAAACTGGCGGCAAGAATTGTACTGTAAGCAGTGACAAGTAAAAATCCGATAAATTGACAAATGAACATTTGCAATCTCAATTCGGGAACAGTTTCCGATATTCCAGTACCTACTAAATTTCCCATAACTTCAGTTACTGTTACGATAAAATTTCTGTAATCTAAAAGAAAAAAAGGAATTCGTAAAGATTATTTTTACACTTTTCGTTAGAATTTTGATTTCTTTTTCTTTTTTTTATAGATTTAATTTTCTATTGATTTGTCCTTTATATTCACGATCTATATAATATAAACTTACAACGTGGAACGTTTGGATCCATTTGAGCTTTAATGATTGTGCTTGTAGTTTGAATTATAACGATTATAATTATTAGTGTCCAAACTTCAGCAGTGAATGGTCGAATAATTGCCCAGAAACTGCTGTACGGTTTTGGTCGAGGAACCAGAAAATCGACCGCAAGTTCGTACCAGGGCTCAGATAAATTTGCAAATGAATAATGATCATGTTTTAGCCATATTCCACTAAATGCTATATCAATCTAATTTTATTTATTTAAAATTATTACTGTGTTTCATTAAATGAAAGAAAAATTAATTTAAATTAAAAATTTTAATTTAAATGTCAATTTAAAATTAATTCAAATTCAAATTAAATAAAGGAGAAATTGAAGTAAATTAAATTAATGTTTAAAATTATATGAAAATTGAATAGAAATCGAAATTGAATTAGAATTGAATTGAAATTAAATTTCATTTTTATTTTTTTTATTCAATAAAAAAATTTTAATTAATTTTTAAAGTTATATGAAAATTGAATAGAAATCAAAATTGAATTAGAATTGAAATTAAATTAAAACTAAAATTATATTAAAATTGAATGAAAATTAAATTGTAATTAAAATAAATTTAAAATTGAATTAATATAAAAATTAAATTAAAATTCATTTAGTAACAGAATATTCAAATTCAATAATTGCTGAAGACAAAAAAAGAGAGAAAAAACAATTAAATTTTAAATTTTACCTCTTTTCTGAATATTTGCCCTATCATACCGCCATTCCAAGTTGTGTCATTTATTTTTCTTCCGTATCTATAACTTCCCGAGGGTTTCCTAATGGACCAGCGAAAATTTAATCTTTTTGCAATAAGCTCAAATATTCTCATTTCCACGCCATCGACTTCAAAATCTGCAATTTTTTTTACATTCTTTTTAATAAGTGCTTTGAGAATTAAATTATTATTATTATTATTATTAATATTAATATTACTTATTATTATTATTTATTAATTATTACTTATTATTATTTTTTTTACAGGTCTCGGATAGTTCGACTTTTTGGACTTTTTTCGACCATTTTTAGAAAAAACGATTTTTTTTACTTATTTTTAAATAAATACAAGTTTCTCGACTTTTCTTTCAAATATTGCAATAAAATACCTCTTTTTTGGTATAAAATGTAACTTATTTCGATGTTTATAGTGTGAAAAATACCTCTAGACAAATCTTTCAAAAATTATTCTTGAATAATTTTTTTAATTAAATTTTCGAAAAACTATATAATTCAAAAGTTTCTAAATAATTGAAATTTTGTAAAGTTTTATTGAAAATAATTTATTTATTTTGAGCATTTCATTACAATATTTAAAAATCAAATTTTGGAAAATTTTAATGAAATATCAAAATAAAAAATAGTTTCAAAAAAAGTTTATTAAAAAATTATTTTAAAAGAGTAATTTTTAGAATTTTTTTATTACAATTTTTGAAAATTGAATTATTTATAATATTTTTAATTGCATTTTTCCGGGAATTCAAATATCTCGAGAAAAATTTTAAAGAAAACAATTATTTTCCAAATTATAAATTAAAATTCTTCAAAAAATTGATTAGATTTTTAAGTTGTTCAAAAATTCTCTTTTAAAAAATTCAATTATTTTTTTAAATAACATAATTATTTACAAAACAGTTACAATTATTGTAAAAAATTTAAATTTTGTATTTAATTTCAAGTAATTGAATTCTCGAATAACTTTCGGAAAATTATTAAAAATAATTGATTTAGAGAAGAAGTTTAGTTAAAATTTTGTGATTGTAATTCCAGTTTTAATTTTTATAAACAATTAAATTTAAATTTTTAATTTTCAGTTTCTGTTGCAAAAATAAATAACAAGTATTTAAATATTTTTATTTAACTGAATTATTCCATTTTTAAATAATAGATTACACAAATTAGTGAAACTTCAGGGAAATTAAAACTAAAAAATATTGTGACAATACTGAATAAACTAAATGACTTTTTGTAAATCTTTAATCGACTAAAGCGTCTTTTTTGCGCCTTAAAGTCGATCCGAGACCTGTTCTTTATTATTTTTCTTATCATTATAATTAGTATAATAATTATTATTTTCTTTATTTTTAATTGTTAATTGTTATGAATTAAATTTTTATTCATTCAATGCATTACCATTGTCAGCTAAAAAAATTTCAGCCTCAACACCGTTTATTGTCTCATTAATTGTTGTGTTTAAATAACAAAGGGGAGGATTGTAATAAGCAGCTGCTTGAAGAAGTCGACCCTCTAAATTTACTACCCCTTTCTTGTGTACCAGTTCATCGTACCTGTTGCATATATATATTTTTTTTAATTTAATACTTAAAAATATCTTTTTAAAAATAGTATATTAGTAAAAAAAAAAAATAGTTTTCTTTAAAAACGAACAAGTAATCCGTGTTATTGGCTACACACTTTTTAATTTTGCGAAATTTTCGAGGCTTGAGAAAATTTTCCGATAATGTCCAAGAGCCTGAATGAGAAATTAAATTAACATTTGAATTTTGATACAATGAGACGTTGAATATTTTCGAATCATTTTCTATTTGATTATCAACAATAATGAGAATTTCCGTTGTCGATATTTGTGATGGTACCCTTAAAATAAAACAAAAAATCATTTCTTTTAATGTTAAAATAAATTAATAAATGAAATAAAAGAACAAAATAAAAGATAGAATAAAGAAACAAATAAAAAATAAAATAAAGAAACAAAATAAAATAAAATAGAAAAACAAAGTAAAAAATAAAAAAATGAATAAAAAAAAATGAAACGTCCCGTTAATAAACTAAATAAAAAAAAAAATAAAAAAAGAAGAAAAATTAAGTACAACAGAAATTGTGGAAGTAAGAATTTTATTTTACCTTTGCATTGCATAAACAATTCGCGACTCATTCGATACTAATAAAAAATAACCGTCACAATCATAAATTCTTCTTCTTACGAGATAACCATACGGATAAATTTCAATAAAATAATTAAATAATTCATTAATTCCATACGATGTACCTGTAAATTTTTAAAACAAATTCCACTAATTTTTTTCTGTGAAATTTACTTTACAATAATATTTTATTCTTTTTTCAATTTCTCTTTATTAGAAAATTTGACCATTCTTTTACTTACCATCAATAAAAATATTACAACATTGAGCGTAGGGAAATGATAATTTAATAATTTTTTCATAATTATCCAACGATAGCCAAGGTTCCTCGTATGTTTTAATAAAATACTTCTTGTGATCTGCCATTGTTGATAAAATGAAAAATTGTAAAATCAATGGAATAATCATTTCGCAGAATTTTTTATTCATTCATTTCAATTTTTTTATATTTTAATTGATTAGTAATTATTAGTACTATTATTAGTTATTAGAATTATTTCTTTATTTCTTGGTGTTACACTTTTGTTTTACACCTCTTTTTATTATTAGTATTTTTATTATTATTTTTTTTAATTATTAGTAGTATAATTATAGTTATTTTAATTATCACTATTATTATTATTTTTTATTTTTATTATTACAATTTCTTTACTATCATTATAAATATTAATATTATTGTTTTTATGTTGGTTACATTTATGCAAAAAAAAACTACCACTTTTATACAAATTTTTTTTTTCAAATAAATTTATTCGGCGAGCGTTGAAGCTCGACTAAAGAAATTCTATCGCGAAATGAAACTTTGTATATATTTTTATTTCGTTTGCATGCATTAAATGGGGTGTATAAGTCATGAAAGTAAATATCAAGGGTTGATAAAGTAAAGTAGTATAACTATAGAACTTATACTAAAATTGTTGTCTGTTTGATTATGAAATTGATAAAAATTCTTTGGACAATAAAAATACCAAAGATGACACTTTAATTAATGAGAAAAAAAAATTTTTTTTTAGTCTTTTAAAGATTGTAATAAAGATAAGACATCTTTTGTCTGACATTAATTTGTTACTTTACATCGTTAATTAATAATTTCTTCTAAATAAATAGAGTTATGACGTTGAAAAAATGGATAATTGATTAAATTTTTTTTATTTTCTTCTTGAGGTGTTTTTTACTATAAAAGTATAAATTGATATTCACATTACTACTTTTTAAAAATAAATGAAAAATACACAAGTTAGGGAAAAAGGTGTTAATTTTTCGGTTGCTATTTCTTTATTAAAAAAATTGTAAATAACTAAATAAAATTATTTTTAGTGTTATAAATTTATAACATTAACTAGCAAATGTTACGCGTGAAAATCGGTTTTTGATTTATTAATATTATTATACAAATTACAAAATTTTATTTTCAATTATCTACTTCAATTTTTGAATAATTACAGATTTAATAAAAAATTCACTTATTAACTAAATAACAAATTTATTATTATTATTCATTATTGTCTAAAATTTTAATAAAATTCTTCGCAACAGTTCAATTATTTACATAAATATAAAAATTCATCTCAGAAATTCAATTATTTACCCAAACAATAAAATTCTTCGCAGAAATTCAAATATTTTTAATACAATTTTAATCAAATTTCGCTAAAGAATTCAATTATTTTTGAAAACTTTAATAAAATTCTTCGACACGATTCTATTATCTTCAAAAATTTTAATAAAATTCTGTATAAGAATTCAATTGTTTACATACATAAATAATAAAATTCTGCAAGAATTTCAATTATTTACATAAAAAATAAAATTCTTCGCATAAATTCAATTGTTTTTAATACAATTTTAATAAAATTTCCTTAAAGGATTTAATTATTTTTAAAAACTTTAATAAAATTCTTTGAAACAATTCAATTATCATCAAAAATTTTAATAAAATTTCTTCAAGGCATTCAATTATTTTTAAAAATTGTAACAAAATAGCTCGAAAAAATTCAATTATTTTCAAAAGTTTTAATAAAATTCTTGTATAAGAATTCAATTATTTACATAAATAATAAAATTATTCTCAGAAATTGAATTATTTTCAATATAATTATAGTTTTAATCAAATTTTTCGAAAGAATTCAATTATTTATAAAAATTGTAATTAAATTCTTAGAATGAATTCAATTTATTTCAAAACTTGTGATAAAATTCTAGACAAGAATCCATTTATTTTCATAAATAAATGTTTCAAAAGAATTTAATTATTTTTAAATTTTCCAATAAAATTCTTTGATAGAATTCAATTACGATCAATGAAATTTGAATTAAATTCCTTCGAAAGATTTTAATTATTTTCAAAAATTTTAACAAACTTCTATATGGGGCATTCCACGCCAAGTCGGACACCTTTTGACTTTTGCATCTCCGATTTTTTTCAAATATTTTTTTTCTTTTAGTGCTCGTTGAAATGAGCTACCATGATTTTTTTCAAATTTTTTCATCAAGCGGTTTAAGAGATACAGGTTTTTGAAAAATCACGTTTTTTACGTAAATTTTTTTCTGAAATGCTTAAACTCGGACAAAAATTGATCAATTTTGACGTTCGATATATGAAAATTTTTGTTTTTACACGTAGTTTTTGATAAAAATATTTAAAAATTTTTTTTAAATTTACCAAAAAAAATTTAAATTTTAAAAATAAAATTTAATTTTTAAGAATGTATGTATCGATCGATTTTTTTCAAAATTTTTTGTGAGAAACTGGTACTAAATTAAGAATTTTTAAGCATAGTCTGATGATGGGCAAACGATGGGATCTATTTGTTTCTGATTTTTCAATTTTTATATTTATAGCTAAAAGTATGAAAATTGAATGAATTATCGTAAGAATGCGATAGAGAAGGACAGACAAAGCTCCTGTCCTCTTCTATCTCATTGTTTTGTTATAAGTTCACGTCTTAAGATTTCATTGTGCGTTGGCCTTTTTCTATTTTACGCGCTGCGTTCATCCGCTACATCTCAAACCTTTAAAATATTTAAACGGTCACGAAATTAAATGTTTTTCTACATATGAATATGCTTTCTCAAAATTACAATAAAGTAATTAATATCCTGAACGTCTTGTAATTCATTTTTCATACTTTTAGCTATAAATATAAAAATTGAAAAATCAGAAACAAATAGATCCCATCGTTTGCCCATCATCAGACTAGGCTTAAAAATTCTTAATTTAGTACCAGTTTCTTACAAAAAATTTTGAAAAAAATCGATCGATACATACATTCTTAAAAATTATATTTTATTTTTAAAATTTAAAATTTTTTAAATATTTTTATCAAAAACTACGTGTAAAAACAAAAATTTTCATATATCGAACGTCAAAATTGATCAATTTTTGTCCGAATTATAAGCATTACAGAAAAAAATTTACGTAAAAAATGTGATTTTTCAAAAACCTGTATCTCTTAAACCGCTTAATGAAAAAATTTGAAAAAAATCATGGTAGCTCATTTCAACGAGCACTAAAAGAAAAAAAATATTTGAAAAAAATCGGAGATGCAAAAGTCAAAAGGTGTCCGACTTGGCGTGGAATGCCCCATATATAAGAATTAAAATTGTTTCACATTGAAAATTATAAGAGTTACAAAAATTGCTACATTTTTTAAACCAAAATGTTATCTTTTACAATTAAAGAAGAGTTCACATATCAACCTCTCATAATATAATAAAATGAATAATAAATTATTATCATTTTCATTTTTATTAAATTTTTATATTTTTAATTTTCTTTTCCTGGGTAAACAACAATTTTTTAAAGATGTTTTCACAATTTTTTGTTGTTAATATTGATAATCACAATTGTTATTTGCAATACTGCATAATATTGACTCTTTATTTTATTTATTTTTTTGAAAAGTATATAATTCATAAATAAATATACATTAAAATGAAATGGAAATTTATGTCATTTTTTTCTTGTTTTTGTTTTCTACTTATTTTGATTCAAAGCGAAAAAAATTTGTATTTTTAACTCACTTCATAATACACAACAAGAGCAATATAATAAATTATAATTTAAATTTTAAATGTTTTTGTTATCGTAAGTAGCTCTTTAGATGGTGATAAGGATTATTTTCTTATCAATGACATCATTTTATTGCTACAGTTCATCATTAAAACAAGTGTTGTTAACATTCACTTTATTTTTAATATAAAAGATAGTCGCCGCATTAATTGTTGTACGATAAATATAATTAAATTTTTCCATTTTTCCCCCTCGCGATTTTCATTTTTTTTTTTTTACATTATTTCAAGTTTCTTTTATATAGATAAAAATATAGTTTTAAAAGTGGGAAATAATAATTTAATATAGTTTAAAATTGAAGAAAAAATTAATTTAATAAATTAAAATTGAAAAACTAAATTTAATAAATTAATTTTTTTTTTAAATGAATATAAAATGTAAAAGAATCAATATTGAATTTATAAAATGCAGGAGTGACTGACCCAGTGAAGAAATACTTTCGGTAGGGAGTGGGATGAATTTAAAGCTTGTTGGACCTTCAAACTGGAAAAAAAAGTGCGTTGACAGTAATTCTTAAACGTGTCTGCTTTGAAACATCCAGACGAAGACGCTTAAAAATATTTTTCTTTCGTGGGAGTGAGTGAATTGGCTTGGCTTTAATTAGCATTACATTGACTCTAGGTCGATAGGCATTTTTATCATTCGAAATAGTTGAGAATTTCAAAGTGTTTAGTGATTTTGGAATTTTTTTTTTTCATTTTTGCTACAAAAAAGTGCAGAAATTATATTCAATAATGGCGTTATCCTTAAGTTTTAGACGATTTTTATATCACTCCAGAGGTAGGTGAATTTTATTTTTATTACATTTTTAACTCGCTACTTGATAATTTTCTTTTATTACAATTTTATGAATTTTCTTTTATTTTATTATAATATTAATTATTCGACTTTACAAAAATTTACAAGCAAATTAAAAATGCACAAATATAATTGAAATAATAAAAAACCGTTTAATAGTTAATTAATTTTTTTATTGAAAGCAGTTTTATAATTATCTATTTATTTTTTATTTACAGGAAGTCGAGAATTTTCAAATGTTGGATTTATTGGTTTGGGACAAATGGGAAGCAGAATGGCAAAGAATATTTTAAAGAAGGTAAAATTAAATTTATAATTGTCAATTAATATAATTATTAATTAATAGTCAAGTACTCTAAATTATTTCTATTATTAACAGGTTAATTTCTCTTTTTACATTTAACGTTTATGTTAAACAGGGTCATAAACTAACAGTGTTTGATGTTAATAAATTTGCTGTTACCAAATTATGCGAATCAGGAGCAACAAGTGCAGAAAGTGCTGCGGAAGTTTCACAAACCTCGGAAATAATAATAACAATGTTACCATCCAATAAACATGTTTTGGACTGTTACACCGGTGAAAAGGGAATTTTGAGGTATTTCAATTAATTATTATTATTTCTCTCTTTATTATTTTTTGAATTTTCCATTTTTTAATTCTGGTTTTAATTTATATTCTAATTTCAGTTTTGCAAAGAAGAATACACTTTTAATTGACAGTAGTACAATAGATCCGTCTGTTTCCGAGACGGTTTCTCAAGAAGCCGAAAAGAAAAATATGAGATTTATCGATGGACCAGTCTCTGGAGGTAGAAAAAAATCGAAAAATTAAAAAATCAAAACATTTTTTGAAATCTACTTTTTTTCTAGGAGTGAATGCGGCTGAAAATGGTACCTTGACTTTTATGGTTGGAGGTTTGAGAAACAATTTTGATGATGCAAAATCAATTTTCGAAGCCATGGGATCAAGAATTGTTCATTGCGGTGAAAAAGTTGGTATGGGACAAGCTGCTAAACTTTGCAACAACATGCTTCTTGCAATCAGTATGATTGGCACAGCTGAAGCTTTCAATCTTGGTCAAAAGTAATGAGATTTCTTTTTTAAACAACTTTTATAGTTGGAAAAAGAATTAGGTTTAAATTTTAATAATTTTATTAGATTTAATTATTTTTAATTTTATTTATTTTAATATTTATTCAATTTAGTTATTTGAATTCATATTTAATTATTCAATTTAATGTGACATAGTAATTAATTAATTAATTAGTTGTCGCTAATATAATTATTTCTAATTGTTAATTTTCGGTAAATTATTACAGGTTTCGGATAGTTCGACTTCTTGAACGCTTTTTTCTGATTATTTTTAGTAAAAGCGACTTTTCGACTTATTTAAAAAAAAAAACGAATTTTTCTACATTTTTTTTACAAAAATTGCTTCAAAATATCACTTTTTGTCACAAAATACAAATTAATTTGTTTTTCTTTTTACTGTAAAAAATAATTGTAGTTATTCCAAATTAATTTTTTATTCATTTTTCTAAGATAATTAAATCGAAATATATAATTCAAAAGTGTTCAAATAATTGAAATTTTGTAAAGATTTATTGAAAATAAGTTATTTATTTTGAGTACCTATTTCATTAAGCTTTTTGAAAATAAAATTTGAGAATCAAAATAAAAAATAGTTTTAAAAAAGGATAAATTACGATAAGTTATATTAACAAAGTAATTCTTAAAATGGCTTATTATAATTTTCTAAAATTGAATTTCAATATTTTCAATTACATATTTCCGAGAATTTAAATATCTCAAAAAAAATTACATTATAATTTTCTTGAAAATACAAATTTTTAGAATTATTGTCAAAATTTTGAAAAAAACAATTATTTTACAAATTTTTAATTAAAATTCTCCAAAAAAGTAATTATATTTTTTTAATTTGTTTAAAAATTGTATTATTTTTGAAAAATAACATAATTATCTACAAAAAAATTAATTAAATTTAGAAAAATGTGCTTTATTAGATTCATCATTAAAATCTTTGGAAAAGTCGTTCATTTTCATTTTTACTTTTAAAATTCTCAAAAAAATATTATTTTTTTAATATTTCCAAAAAATTTTTTTTAAAAATTTAAATATATTTCAATTATTTGGAAACTTTTTTAATAATAAAAAATCTGTTAGCTATTATTTAAAAATTATTCAAAAATTGTTTTAGAAAACAACGTTTAAGAATTTTATTACAATTTTTTAAAATTTTATCATATTTAATAATGTCGGTTGTATATTTTCAATAATTCACCTTAATAACATAAAAAAAATAGTTTAAATTTTAATTAAAATAAAATAAATTAAATTAAAAAATAGAAAACTTTAAAAAGAAATTATGAAGCGTTAGAAATTAAACTTTTATATTCAATTTTAAATAATTAAATTCTCGAAAAACTTTCGGATAATTATTGAAAAATAATTAATTTATAGTGAAGAAGTTTAGTTAAAAATTTTTGAAAGTAATTAAATATTGCATAAATTGCAGTTTTAATTTTTAGAAATAATTAAATTTCTGCAATATCTGTAAGTGGAAAATTAAAATTTTAAATTCCTGTGCAAAAATAAATAACAAGTATTTAAATATTTGTATTTAACTAAATTATTTTATTTTTGAATAATTGAATTTAGAAAACAGTGATTTGTCAGGGAAATTCAAACTGAAATTTTTGTGAGAATACTGAATAAACTAAACTACTTTTTCGTTTTTTTGTTTAAATCTTTAATCGAATAAAGCGACTTTTTTTGCGCCTTAAACTCGATCCGAAACCTGTTATTCATTAATCACAAATTTTTAATTTGGAATTACTTTAGATAATAATAAATATTTAATTAATATAAAATTAATTTAATCAGGTTGGGATTGGATTCAAAAGTATTAGCAGAAATTGTTAATTCAAGTTCAGGAAGATGTTGGGCTTCTGAAGTTTACAATCCAGTTCCAGGACTAATTCCAAATGTTCCAAGTAGCAATAATTACCAGGTAATTTAAAGAAGAAATTTATTTTTCTTTCAATTAATATTTTTCTCTTAATTACTATATAATTTCTTAATTATACAATTTTTATTATTTATTTTCACATTAAAATTTTAATTTCATTTCAAACTTTACTTTTACCTTTAAATTAAATATACCTAAACATTTAACTATAAAATTAGTTAAATAAATTAGTTTTTTTAGTAAATTATTTAGTTTTTTTTATTAGGTTTTTGAATTTAGTTTCTATTTAGTTTTTTATTTAGTTTTTCAATTTAATTCTTTTATAATTAGTTTTTTTATTTACTTATTTAGTCAATTAATTAAATTAGTCAAATAAATTTCACTGAAATAAAAAATTCGAAAAAAATATTTTTAAACAAATAAGAATAATTAAGTAAAAAAAATAACAAATTTATATTTTTCTAAATAGGGAGGATTTGGAACAACGTTAATGGCGAAGGATTTGGGACTAGCTCAAGATATTGCGAGTAGAAGTAAAACACCAATTTTACTTGGCTCTTTAGCGCATCAAATTTATCTGGCCGTCATTTCAAAAGGCTTTGCAGATAAAGATTTCAGCGTGATTTATCAATTTTTAAAAGACGATAAAAAAACATAATTTGGAAAATTTATTTCCTTATTGTTATTATGTTAACTAATTAAAATTTTTCATTACTGTTTAATTGTTTATTATTCTTAAAACCAGATTTAAAAAAATATAAATACATTGGTTGGTTTAAAAAGCATTTTTTGAATTTTAAATTTCCCGCCAAGTGACAATTTCGTAAAATACAGCGCGACACATAAAAACACATTCAACAGGGGCAAACTGATCACAATGGAAAATTCTGAATAAAACTGGATTTAATCTAATCACTCGATATTAATAGACTTATTTAGTGGATATTATGTCATCCGGATTAATAATCTTCAATTTAGTGTAAAAATAGATCTTATTTAATTTGTAAAATTGAGAAAATATCCGAGGAGCAAAGTTCCAAATTCAAATTTAGTTCGAATTGTGGTTGCTAGAGTGCGGGACGATGTTGGAGTTTTATTTTTGTAGTGTGTTGGTGGTGGGGGAGGTTGAGAGAGGGCAGTGTAGTCCAGTGCTGGCGCTTGTGGTAACTTCGGCTTTTCTTTTGGTATTTGTCTCGTGGCTTGGTGTTTTTTTTGCACCTTGAAAACAAGTGTTTTTCGTGAAAATCCCTCAAAACCCGCATCCTTATACAGTGATTAGATGTATATCTAAGTGCAAGTGTCTGTGTACACGTGTAAAAGCAGACTGTAAATTTCAATCTCAAGATGAGTAAGACGTGTGCCCGTTGTGAGAAAACGGTCTACCCGATCGAGGAGCTCAAATGCCTTGACAAGGTGCGTAAAGCTGCATTTATCCTGAGATTTTTAACCCTATTTTATCACTAGTGCATTATTCTTATCGAGTGCATTCAATTGAATTACTCACAAAGTACTTGGAAAACAAACGTGATTATCGTCTAGAAGTGAAACTTAACCAAAAAAAAAGATCTTTTTTTTCATTGTTTTGCCTGAATATCAGTGTTCCATAGTTGTATCCGCTTCAACGGTTTTTTTTTTGCAAGAGATTTGTCTTTTTTTCATCCGCAGAGAATAACGAAAATTGTGATTTTTTTTCATGTTTTTTCGAGTAGAGGTTAGGAGAGGTTATAAAAGCATTTGAGAGAAAGAGAGAGGTGATTTACTAACGGAGCATTTTGCGTGCTACATCCGTGAATAAAGTGTGGCTGGATCTTCCTGAGCTACTTTGCATACGGAGGAAGATGCAATTTATACGTTTACACGTGTCTTGGTAAAGAAATTGTCGAACGTTCGTTGCACTCATCTAACAAATTGTGTTTATGATTTGACATACATTTTCTTATTACTTAAAAAAAAAGAGAGAATTATTGCTGGGACATAAAACGTGCTTTAATTCACTTACTCAGCAGAGTTGATCTTTCGGAATATTACAAGTAAGAGAAAATTCTTGACGTGTCATGGCACTTGAATATTACACCGCAAGTTTAGCCACTGTTGAAATATGGAAGTCTTTAAATGTCATGGATCTTTCTTGTCTCTAGCAAATCAAAAAAAATTTTCTTCCCGTAAATTTGAATTGCTTCTTGACAAACTTCAGGTTTGCCATAGGTCAGGGAAATTACGGAATTTGGGGAAAAGTCAGGGAATAGTCAGGGATTTTTATTAAAGTACTGGAAAAAATTGAATTTTGAAAAAGTTACTAATTGTTGCAGAAATTCAATTATTATATTATTTCAAAAATTTTCCTCAATTTAATGATTTCCAATAAAATTATTCAAATAATTCAATTATTTAAAAAAAACTTTTAATAAAATTCAACGCAAACATTTAATTATTTTCATAAATAATAAAAATTTCAAAGAAATTCAATTATTTACAAATTGCTTTGCAATAATTAAATTATTTGCATAAATAATAAAACTTTTTACAGGGATTAAATTATTTTCATAAATAATAAAACTCATCGCAGAACTTCATTTACTTTTAGTACGATTTTAATCGAATTTCTCGAAAAATGAAAATTATTCTTGAAAATTTTATTAAAATTCTTCGAAAAAATTCAATTATTTAAACATTCGTTGATAAAATTCTTTTTATCAAAATTAAAATTTAAGAAACATTCAATTATTATTCAATAAATTATTTATCTCTTTATTTAAATAATTGAATTCTTGTAGAATTTTCTAATAAAAATTGATTCAAAAATTAATTACAGTTAAAATTTTAGATAATAATTGAATTTTTCAAGCTTTATAGAATTTTTTGAAACAATTGATTATAATCTTTGAAAATTTGAATTTTTCATACTTTTAACTGACAATTCTGTAGAATTAATTTTGCTGAAAAATTTTAATTAAATTTTTTTTTAATTATGACAAGTTTTTATTTTCTACATATTTAATTAAAAAATTTCCGAATAATTGAAATTTTGTAAAATTGAATTGTAAACAAATGGATTTGAAAATTCTCAAGGAACTTTTGCAAAAATTATTAAAAATAATTGATAATTGAATTCTTTCAAAGAATTTTGATAAAATTCTTGAAAATAATTTACATTTTTCGAAAAATTTATTTAAAATTGTTTTAAAAATAATTGAAATCTTGTGAAGAATTTTATTATTTAGGAGAATAATTGAATTTTTACAACGAATATTTATTACATTTTTTTTAAATAATTGAAATCTTTTGAAGAATTTTATTATTTATGAAAATATGTAATTGAATTTTTGCAAAAAATTTTTGAAAATAATTACATTTTTAAAGGAATTTATTTAAAAATTGTACTAAAAATAATTGAAATACTGTATGAAAAATTTTATTGTTTATAAAAATAATTGAATTCTTACAAGGAATTTTATTACATTTTTTTAAATAATTGAATTCGTGTGAAAAATTTTATTATATTGAATTCTTGCGAAGGATTTTATTAGAATTTTTGTAAATAATTTAATTTCTTTTTGATAAATTTTATGAAAATTTAAATTATTATAAATAATAATTCGACTCGAAGTCATCGATATCTTCATGTTTTATATTAATATTCTTATAAGTGGTTGAATTTAAAATGTTTCGAAAATCTCAATTTCTATGGAATAATGATTAAATATTTATTTAATTATTTTTAGAGTGAATCAGAATATTCTTTAGGGTCAGGAAAACAAATTTTTGTCAAAATTTTGTCTGTAAATCAGGGAAAACAAAATTAATTTTTTGTTGCAATCGTGAAACTTTTTTTCTGTTCCAAATTGAAAAAAAATTATTTTCATCTTTAAAAAAACTGAATTTTATGTAGAAAGTGCACGAATTTTCTGTTCACAAAATTCTTAAATCTTGGTTTCTTTAAATTTGGTCCAGTTTTTTGTTTGGCTCAAATCTCAAATTGACAAGAATTCTCCATTTGCAAATTTATATTCTGTAATGAAATTGATAAACACTTGTTTAGTGTCAGTGTTATGAAATGTTACGTTTGTGTGTAAATGCGTAATAATCATTTTTATTTGTTCTCTTAGAATCGAAAAGAGAATTTCCATTATCAGCTGTAATTGGGAGCTAACTATCAATATAGACACAAGATAAATATTATCTCTGAATTTATCAATTCACATATTTTTGGAATCTGCTCTCAAAATATTTCGTCAAAATTTCACTATTTCTATTCTCAATAATTATTTTCCCGATTTTAAATCTGCTCTTAATTTTTTCTCTCTCAAAATTTTACTATCGCTGCTCTAAATTATTTTCCGTTGTAAATCTGCTCTCAAAATATTTCTCTTTTAAAATTTTACTATTAATATACTCTAAATTATTTTCCTTGTTGTAAATCTGCTTTAAAAATATTTCTCTTTTAAAATTTTACTATTAATATACTCGAAATTATTTTTCCTGAATTGTAAATTGTGTTTATTTCGTACAATTGCTTAAAACTATTTTTTTGCTTGTTTATTATAGTATTTTATATTATAGTTTATTATATTATAGTATTATTGTTATTATTCTAAATATAATTCGAATCTTTTATTATTCCTTGAAAATAATAGAAAGAAAATGAATTTTTGGCACAAAATGAATTCTTGATTCAACTTTACTATTGCATTGAGATTGGATGTTATCTTTTGAAGATCTAAAAGATGGAGAGGAATAAGAGAAAAAAGAGTGGAGATATTAACTCTTGAAGTTTCATGTTACAAGGCTTGTTGCAGGGCGGGGACAAAAATTGAAACGCACAAAGGACAATTAGAGCAGACTCGAATGACGAAGAGGCTTCGACCTCTCTTTCTCTCTTTCTTCCTCTCTCTTTCTCTCCTAACGTAATTTTACAAATGTCATTGCTGCTAAATTGGCCCTTATCGCTATAAAAAAAGAAAAAATTCCTGCGGGTTGTATTTATTAAGTAAAAAAAAAATATTAAATCTAATCTTCCCCCTTCAATGTCACATATTTTCATCTCTCAAAACATCTAATTAGATTCCACCTAATTAGAGACTATTATAACGTTTTAATTTTATCTTCTACGTAGATTTTCCACTCTACTTGACAGTTTCAAATTGAACTTCGTTCTTTTTTTATCAATAATCCATGATTTTGGACAAATAAAAATCTAAATAAAAAATTATTTATTCGATTTGATTTTTTTCCTAACTTGGAAAAATTATCAATTTTAGAAGTTTTTTTTTTAATTTATTTTTTTGTTTCTGAAATTATTGTATTTCGACGATAGTGCGAATAAAAAAAATGAATAATTCTTGGTAATTATCTTGATCACCATCTCTTGTTATTTGCACATCGTGCTCGTGAACAAGCTGTATTTTGATGTAAGTTAATTCTTTTATAAGTCGGTTGTCTCGAACAAACAATACATATAACTATAGCAAGTAAATTTGCATTCACCCATATATATATATATATATATATATATATTTCAAAAACGAAGGACGTCAAGAGATGTTCTTTACTTGGCGAGATATTGTAATCACTTTGACCCCATAATGAAAGAGCCATTCCTTGTCTGATTATTTTGTTTTTTTTTTAATTCACCTCTCTTCTGTTATTAAATTTTTAATTCCACCTGTTTGATAATCGTCTACTTTTCGTATTTTCAACTAAAAACATCTCTTGTTAGATAAAAGGAATTTTTTTTCCTTTCGAGAAAAAATATTGAGAAAAATATTTTGGTCTCTAATATTTTTTTAATTTATTTTCTATTTATTTTTATTTTTTTTTTTGTATTCTATTTATTTTTTATTTTCATAAATTTCTTGTATCCTATTTATTTTTTTATTTACAGACCACGAATATTGACTTTTTCGATTTTTTTTTACTATTTTCAAAAACGTGACTTTTTTCGACTTATTTTCAAAAATTGCGACTTTTTCGAACTTTCTTCCAAATATTGCAACAAAATACCACAATTTTTCTATAAAATGAAATTTCTTTCGATTATTATAGTGTGAAAAATATAACTATAGACAAATCATTCAAAAATTATTTTAATTACCAATTTTTCTAATTAAATTTTCGAAATATACAATTAAAGATATTTTGAATAATTAAAATTTTGTAAAATTTAATTGAAAATAATTGATTTTCTTCAAGTATTTTGTTACAATTTTTAAAATTCAACTTTTGAAGAATTATAATTTCAGATTTTGAAAATAATATTGAATTCTCAAAAATTTTAACAATGCACAAGTTAGTTATGAACGAAAACTACACGGAAAAAAAAAGTACGTGAAAGTTTCATTGACTTGGTACTTGACTTTTGGATACGACACAAAATACTAAAAACAGTCTAGTCATTTTGCATGAGAGTTTCAAAAGCAGTCAATGAAATATTCTAGTACCTTGCTTGAGAATTTCATTGACTTTCAAAAAAATTGTAAAATAAAAAAAATAATTTCCACTTGTTCACACAGTTTTTCTGAAATTCACTCATTCATTCACATATATTGATAATTAATCACACAAACAAAGAACAATTATTGTATCACTTTTCGACATTCGTCAACACTTATGAACTAACCTATAACACACACATATATTCGCGTATAACTTAAATATAAACACACACTTAACACTTAAAAGTACGTATCGAATTGTTCTTATATACCACATGGTGAAATTTTTCACGACTTCTGAGACATGCTATTTCACTGAAAACTGATACTTACATAACATTCTGTTTTGTGAGAAACACAAAATTAAAAATATTTTTTTGAAAGTCAATTCTTGAAGACAAATATATATTAACACTATTTGTTTTTCATAAAATAGTAGTATATTCACATCTGAAATTAACACAAATGGAAACAGACGATCAGCTGGCATTTACCTTGGGTAGAATCGCGCAACGCACACTGCGCATGCTCTACAGAATTTTCAAGCGCAGTCAACTAATCTTTCACGTACTTTATAAAACTGAACAAATGACTTTTCGTTAAAATTTAAAAAACACTGTTGCCCATACTAGTACTAGAATAACTCTAGGACTTTTCTATATTTTTTAATAAAAAGTATATAATACAGCCTTGTATTTTGTGTCCTATCCAAAAGTCAAGCACTTTCAAGAAAGGATTCACGTACTTTTTTTTTCCGTGTATTGCCGAAATAAATATTTTCAAAAATTACTGACTTTTAATAACTAAACAAAAAATGAAACATTTGGAATATTTATTATTTATTTTTCTAATACCTACGTGACGCAAAATATTATTGGGATAGAAAATTAAATTTAAAGGAAGATTTTTTTATTTCTTTTTAGTTTGTATTTTTTTGCAAAAAAATTATTTTCTATATTAAAAAAATTAATTTTTAACCAAGTAAATAGTTAAAATTTTCAATATTTTATTTTTTATAAATAATAATCATGACAAATTTTTAAATAAAAAAGTTTTCTGGTCATTTGAACTTTCAAAACTTGAGGAAAATGAAGAAATAAATAAATTTCGTTCATTTGAGAGTTCAGAACTTTAGGGCCATAAATTTTAATGAAAACATCTTCAAGTGTAAATTTAAAAATGAAAATTAATGAAAATTAGCTTTTAAAAATTATATTATTAAAAAAATATTTTTGAGAAAAATAATTCTTAGAATTTTTTCATTCTAATTTTTAAAAATTAAATTATTTTCAATATTTTTAATTTTTACGTATGTATTTCCGAAAATTCAAAAACATACAAAAAATAATAATATTAAAATTTTTGAGAATCATTTTTAACAGTTTGGAGAAAACAATCGTGTTTAAAATTTTTGATTAAAATTCTTCAACAAATTAATTAGTTTGTTTGAAATTATGCAAAAATTCTTGTAAGAAATTAAATTATTTTCGAAAAATGATATTACAATATTTAAAAAAAAACTTCGAATTGTTTTATCATAATTTTTTCTGATTCAATTAACTTTGAAAATAAGTAAATTAAAATTATTGAAAATTAATTTTTTTAGTCTCATTAAAATTTCGGAGAAATCATGTTCATATTTATAATTAAAATTCTTCAAAAATTTGATTTTTTTATATTTTTGAAAAACTCAATTATTTTTAGAAGATTTTACCAAATTTCAATTATTTGGAAATGGACAGTTTTAATTATTATAAAAATTGAACTTTTGTATTTAAATAATTGAATATTCTCGAAGAACTTTTGGAAAATTATTAAAAATAATTGATTTAGAGATGAAGTTTAGTTAAAAATTGTGGAAAATAATTGGATTTTGGAAGAGTTATAGTTGTAATTTTTAGAAATTAAATTTCAGAAGGTCTTAAATTGAACATTATTTAATTTTACGCGCCGTGAAAAGACAAATAAGAAGTATTTTAATATTTATCTAACAAAATTATTTAACTTTTGAATAATTGAATTTATAAATCAGTAAAAGGTCAGGGAAATACAAAATAACATGTTTGTGACAATACTGAATTAAATAAACGACTTTTTCGATTTTTTTGTATTTTTAATCGACTGAAGCAACTTTTTTGGCGCCTTAAATTCGATTCGAGGCCCTGTCTTTATTTTCTTTCACTTTTATTAATTTTCTATATTTTTATTTATTTATTTTCTTTCATTTTTAGGTATACTTATTTGCTTTTACTCATTTTTGTTTATTTCATTATTTGTATTTTTTTAATTAGATTAGACCAGAATAATAATGAGTATGGGAAAGAAATATTTTTTATTTTTACTCATTTTCGTTTATTTTAATTATTTATATTTTTTAAATTTAGATTAGAACAGAATAATGAGTGTGGGATTAAAGAAAGAGTTATGCACAAAAATAAAAAATTTTCATGATTGTGAGGAGAGGAAGTGTGTGATGATTATTGTGCGAAAAGAACTTTTGCGAGATGACACCAGTGGAATTCGTTTGATTCGTATTCTCTTATAAATATTACGAAAGTGTGAATAATAAATAAAGGTCCATCATTAAATTTTTTCCTTCGATAAGCATCTGATTTTCTCTCTTTCTCTCAAATAGAATTGTGGCATCTCTGGTATGTATCCGGTGTACTCGCTATTTAGTAATCGTTACCCGAGATATTACTGCCATTGTTCTTCTCTGGGGTGACTCCTACTTTTTTTCTTTTTTTTTTTTTTTTTTTATTTGCGCTGAACGATTCGTAAAAACCGGACGAACTTTCACTTTCAATGGCAAACAATGATTTATTATATTCGTTTCAAACGACCCCGAGATTGTTTATAATTTATTTTTTTTCCTCGTGCGTGTCCAACTTTTCCAGCGACAACGTTATTAGGTTTTGCCAGCTTCATTAGTTCAAGGACGAATTCTTTAGAGTTGTGGAAATTGAGAAATTCGATACAATCTCCTTTTTTATTATTATATTACAAGTTTTGCAAAAAGTGTCGGATCAAATTCTCTCAATAAAGTTGAATTAGTTCATTTTAATTGGGTATTTTGTATTTTAATTAGATTGTAATGCGAATTTTTCTAATGTTTAATAATTAAATACCTACTGATCTTATATTTTTGGACGAATTTTTGATTCGTTGATAACGATTTTGAACGAATTTTATATTCGTTGATAAAAATTTTTGTCGAACTTTATATTCGTTGATAACAATTTTGATCGAATTTTATATTCGTTGATAATAATTTTTGTCGAATTTCATATTCTTTGATAATAATTTTGAATCTATATTTTATTCGTTGATAATAATTTTTGTCGAATTGTACATTTGTTGATAATAATTTTGAATGAATATTTTATTCGTTGATAATAATTTTCAGTAAATTTTCTATTTTATATTCATTAATAATTGTTAACGAATTTTATATTCATCAATAATTTTTTATCAAATTTTACATTCGTTGATAATAATTTTTAATAAGAAAAAAAATTTTTATACAGTTTGAATTGTAAATTCCGCTTATAGCCTAAATGTGAAATTTTCTTGGGAGTTTTTTTTTACTTTCGCGTGTCGAAAGTTAGCAGATGTCGCAATGAAGTTCCGGTCTCGGTGAGAGTCTATTATATATGAAGATTATGTGAGTTATAATAGAAGTTGAAATAATCAGGAAGATATAATTGTTAGTCTTTCGAGATTTTTGAATAAAAAAACACAAATCTGACTCACTGATTAATTTTTCTGTCTCCTTCTCTCGATTTGTCATGCGATGATGAATCCAGTTTAGATAAAACTCTCGTTGCTATATTTTCCCCCAAGAAGATAAATCATATCATTAATGATTCTTTTATTCTAAATTTTATCAATTGTTAATTTACTATTTACAGTTCACAATTTAGAATTTACAATTTATGATTTACAATTTACAATTCTTCCTTTATGTAGATTTCCTGTATTTAGAAAAAAAATTATTTATTTTGCAAAATAGAGTTAAATTTTCGGATTTTTTTCTAGAATATTTTAAATAGTTGTGTTGGTGCTAATTGATTTTCTTCTTTTGCAGACTTGGCATAAACAATGTTTCAAGTGTCAAGGATGTGGAATGACCCTGAATATGCGCACTTACAAAGGTTTCAACAAACAACCATACTGCGAAGCGTAAGTGTTATCATTAATTAAACAAGTAGTTTCAATAAAAAAAATTTCGATTAAATTTAAAAATTTAGTTCAAAAAAGCTAAAAAATATATTTCTGGAGGAATTTTCAAAATCGTTTGTCGTACGAAAGAAATTTAACACAAGTTGTTGATTTTGTGCAGAGAACGAAGAGCAATTTTTTACTATACGAACGAAGAGCCGAGGGGACAGTGCGATAGAGTTTTTAGCACTTTCCTGTGATACTCTTCGTACAATTTTTCAATTTTTACGATTCTTTCAGTTTTAAGGATTTATTGCTACCATTTCACGCTTCATTCGCTTTACACGCATTACAAACTTCTAACAAGAGGAGAATTAAGTTCGTTTCGAAATATGCTGTCGGATAATTCGGACTCATGGGAATAAAATTCTACGAGGAAAATTGTAGAAATCTTAATTTTTAGAGTGTGTATACTTTCTACTCACGGAAGTCAGGGAAAAGTCAGGGAAATTAGAATTGGTCAGGGAAATCAGGCAAAAGTCAGAGATTTTTTATTAAAAGTACTGAAAAAAAATTAAATTTATAGAATTCATAAGAAAATTCTGAATTTTTGTATCTTTTTTGTTTCTGTTTTGTTTTTATTTCTGACAATAATTTCTGTTTAAATAACTTAATTCTTAGAGAACTATCATAAAATTATTACTTATAAATTATTTAATGAATAATTTTACTTAAATATTTCAAAATTAATTGAATTTTAAAAGAGTTGCGTTTACAATTTTCATAAATAGATGAAAACTTCAAAAGGTTTTAATTTGATATTTTATAAAATTTCAATTTTTAAGGAATTTAATTAGAAATTTTAAAAAACTTAAATTTTCGACAAATTTTAACAATTCAAATACTTCTGAAATCAGTTAAATTTTTTAATATATGTGACGCTCCACGAGAAAAGGGACCTTATTTACTCTTGTCATAAGGTCTCTTTTCTCGTGGAGCGTCACATATATTTAATTAATTTTTTAAAGTAATGGATTTAAAAAAGAGAATTTTAGTAAAAAAAGCTAAAAAATTGAATTTTGGAGATGTTACAAATGATTGCGGAAATTCAATTATTTAAAATGAAATTTAAATAAAATTCTTTAAAAAATATAGGGTAAGTGCGGGTATAGTCGGACAGTACTAGTAGTCGGACACTTTCGTGTTTTTTGACAAATAAATAATAATGCATTGTGATAATTGCTTTAAAAAGTATACTAGACGAATGTGTGAAGTTTATATTTTATTAAAATAGTGTTATTTTCGAAAATAATGAAACAAGAAATATTTTATTTAATGCTTTAAAAATCATGGTGTCCGACTATAGATACAATCATTTTCGAGTAGCGCGATGAGTGGCACAAAGTTTTGTTGATAATTAATCATAAATATTAAAACTTATAGGGTTTAAATATTATATTAATAACTTCTAATATGCTTTAATTCCATTTTCCAGCAGATAGCAATTAAAAAATTATCTTTTTCTTTTTATAAATTCAAAATATCTGACAGATGTCCGACTATAGAAACAAGGGGAAAAAGTGTCCGACTACTAAAGCATTCGTAATTTTTTATTAAAATGTTTATATTTTATTAAATACTCAACTATTTGTAACAAATTTATATGATTTTTAATCCTGAAGAACTCCTTTAATTAATAATGTGCTTATAAACACAGTAGATATTTGCTATTTCAAGAAAAAAAGCATAATTTAAGATTGTATCCTTAAGTGTCCGACTACTAGTGCATTTACCCTACCTATTATTTAAAAAAGTTTTGACAACATTCTTTACAAGATTTAGTTAATAAAATTTTCCGATACAATTCAATTATTTTCAATACAATTCTTATTAAGAATTCAATTATTTTCACAAATAACAAATTTTTTATGTGAATTTAATAATTTAAAAATATTTGAATAAAATTCTTCGAGAGAAATCAATTATTTTCACAAATAATAAAATTTTTCTCGACAATTCAATTATTTTCAAAAATTTTGATATAAAATACTTTATAAATTTGAAAAATTGTAATAAAATTTATCATAGAATTAAATTATTTTTGTAAAATACAACATTCTTTCTTGAAATTACAATTATTGTCAAAAATGTTAGTAAAAATCTTTGAAACATTTAAATTATTTTTGTAAAAAATAAAATTCTTCTTAGAAATTCAATTATTTAAGAAATTTTAATAAAAATTGATCCCAAAAAATTTATTAAATTCTTCGTCAGATTTCAATTATTTTAAATTTTTTAATGAAATTTCATCAAAAGAATTAAATGATTTTCAAAAAGTTATAAAAAAATTCTGAGAAATTCAATTATTTATAAAAATTTTAATAAAATTCTTTACAAGAAATCAATTATTTTCGTAAATAATAAAACTTTTGATAAAATGCTTTTCAAATTTAAAAAATTATAATTAAAATTGATCATAGAATTAAATTATTTCCGTAAAATATAACATTCAATTATTGCCAAAAATGTTAATAAAAATCTTCAAAACAATTCAATTATTTTCGTAAAAAATAAAATTCTTCATAGGAATTAAATTATTTAAGAAACTTTAACAAAAATCGATGCCAAGAATTCAATTATTTTCGCAAATAAAATTTTTCACAGGAATTCGATTATTTCAACAAAAAATTTATTAAAATTTTTCGTTAGATTTTAATTGTATACAATTTTTTAATAAAATTTCTCGAAAAAATTTAATTATTTTCAAAAAGTTTTTAAAAATTTTGAGAAAATCATTTAAAAAATTTGAATAAAATTCTTCACAAGAGATCAATTATTTTCATAAATAATAAAACTTTTCTCCGGAATACAATTATTTTCACAAATAAAATAGGTACTTCACAGGAATTCAATTATTTAAAAAAAATTTTAATAAAATTTGTTGCAAGGATTCAATTAGTTTCATATAAATAACAAAACTTATCGCAGAATTTCAATTATTTTTTATACAATTTTAAGTGCAATGATAGAAAATTGTACTTATTCTTAATTTTTTTTTTTAAATTCGCCGAAAGAATTCAATTATTTTTTAAAAATTTGATAAAATTCTTCATAAAAATTCAATTTTAAGAAATATTCAATTATTGAATAAATTATTTATTTTTGTATTTAAATAGTTGAATTCTCGAAGAATTTTCTAATAAAATTTAATTTAAATATAAATTTATTACCTAAAGGTAATAAATTAATAATTGAATATTAAACGCATTATAACGTGAACTGTTAGAAATAATTGAATTTTAAAAAGGTTTCAAACGAATATTTTTGAGAATATGAATTTTTCATGCTTTTAACTGACAATTGTGTAGAATTAATTTTTTTGAAAAAGTTTATTGGATTTTTTTGAAATAATTTGAATGTTTTATTTTCTAATTATATATTTAATTAAAGAATTTCCGAATAATCGAAATTTCACGTAAAATTGAATTGTAAACAAATAGATTTAAAAATTCTCAAAGAACTTTTTCAAAAATTATTAAAAATGATTGATTTAGGGAAAAATTTTAGTTAAAAATTCTAGAAAATAATAATTGAATTGAAATGATGAAAATAATTTTGAAGAAATTATAGTTTTAATATTCTTATGATATGAAATAATGATTTTATTATTCGGTCATCTTAAATTATTATAAAACATGAAGAAATTAATCATTAATTAATTTCTTTATGTTTTATAAAAATTTTTTTATAAGCTATTGAATTTTAGAAGATTTGAATTTAAATGTTTTGAAAAATTTTCATTCCTACAGAAAAAAAATAATAAATTATTTATTTAAAAATAGAAGCTATTGATGTTTTCGAATAATTATATAATAGAATATTTTTTTGAGTATCTAATAATTTTTAAGAGTGAATCAGAATAATCTTTAGGGTCAGAAAAAAAGTCAAAATTTTATCAGAAAATCAGGGAAAAACAAAATTTAATTTTTGTGGCAACTCTGATCTAGTCACAGATTGTCACAGATGGAAATTTCATCCTCGAAGAAAGATTTTCAGAGAAAACGAAATCTTGATAGAACTTTTGATACAAAGATTCTGTATATGTTCGCATATCCACTTTGGGAAGTAATTGTCTACTCTCGCTTTTTCTTAAACGTATGTGCAGTAAATGTACACGCCCACAAGTCACATAAATTGTAAAATGTACTGGGTGCATGAAGAGTAGGTGCACACGTGTCAGAGTGTTTGCATTCATATTAGAATTGTTGGAGCAACCAAAGCAGAACATGCGTGTGAGACTCATTCAAACATGTCTGAACTGATTCTGGTTTCCTTTCCTCACCCCTCCCTCTCCATCCCCCTTTTGTGCAACTCTCCTCTGATGGATCATTTATTCCCTTTCTCTTTTACACTCCCATTTGCAAAAGATACTCCTTATACTTTTTGCCACTTCCGCCTAAAATTTCAAATGTGTTCACTGCTGTTGTGCCAGATCAGCCATAAGGAGTCACAAGGAGTGACTCATTTCTCTTTAAAAGTTTCTATAATCCAAATTAGGTGCATCATCATTATCATCATTATTATATCCAAATTAAACCAAAAACACCATTTTTGTCCACACCTCCCAACTTATTATAGTATATTTTGTCAACTGGAATTTTCCGCACTCTTTTTTCTTCTCGAGTGAATCAGAAATTTTATAAAAAGACACTCGGATTATTTATTTTCATCACGAGTGGCGTGAATTTATTATTTTCTTCTTTTCTTTGAAAGTAACAATTTTTGTTTTTGGAGATACAAGTTTTTTTTAAAGATACAATTTTAGATTAAAAAAGAACTGGAACGCACTTGTTAAAAATTGAAAAATTGCGAGAGAGTGTATTTTTAATTTTATCAATTATCTTTACACGAAAGAGATGCTAGGTAAATAATCGAGTAAATCCAAAAATAGAATCTTGAATTCCTAACAAAACCACTTAAATATCTTCTTACACGTTCTCCGCAGATCTAAAAATGTTTTA